TGTTTAATTTTTGCGAATATTACTGATATTATTTATATAAACGCGATGACGTGTCGAAAAAAGTTTATATATATTTTTGGAAGGAATCAGAACCGTATTACGGTTTTTTTATATTTCTGCTGTACGTTAAACTCTTCTCGCGATCGTATCATAATCCCTCGCGAATCTGAAAGATCCGAAGGAAACAACTAGGAATGCAACAATAATCCGATAATATCAGTGGTCAATATCGATCATTTATCAGTAATATTTTTTCTCCGATATATCGTTATATCAATATTAATTTCAACGATATTTTGCGATTTGCAATTTGTCTTGCCCACACCTATAAGTCAGACTATAATATATCAACATTTCGATATTATCGAATTATCGTTGCATCACTAGAAACAACACACACCGTTGGACTAAGTAAATTTCACGGTTTTTAAACAGACGTGGAAAAAGGACGCCGTTACCCGGATTCGAGTCGCCAGCCGACGATGACGGTTGTTTACTATTCATTCGGGCACCGCTGCGACGTCGAACGTTTGTAACTACGCTGTAGAACGCCTGCGAACGAGATGAAGAAACACACGAAGAGGCGACGGGCGATCCGGACAGACAGGAAAGAGTTAAGGAGCCAGAGGATGGGGTCGGGGGAGGCAATAAAGGGGAGTGGAAGCGGCGTTAACTTCTAACTGCAGCTAACCTGCTGGTCGCTCGGTCAACGAGATTTATATGTTTACGCGCTCCCCCCGTAGCAACTTTCTATTTTCTCCGACTCGCGACTCCCTCATTTTATTTCAGCCCCACAACCCGCCGCTCTCCGAGGGGTGAGGGAAGCGCGGCTCACCCTCGTTCTCCATTCGCGCGCGCGCTTGCTGCCGCCGCCGCCGCGCCGATGGTGAAAAGCGAGCGGCTTCGCTTGGCGTCGCGCCAGAACGACTTGCGCTGGTCGAAACTGTTTTCGACAAAAGAGACCTAAACGATGCTTTTCTGTCCCTACTCGCGCGCCGGCGTACGCGGCTAAGACACTGGGCGATGTTCCCTTAAGCCTGCCGCTTAGAATCCACAGACGCTACCAGCGAACATTGTTCGAGAGTACTCTGCTTTGGTTCTGTGTGATCGCTGAGTGACTCACTGTACACTCTAGATACGATTTGTCGACAATGTTCGTACGTGTATGTCGCGTCTTAATTTTCGATTGTTTTGTCATTCAGCATATAAAACGTTCATTTTCATTCGTTCATCTCGAGAGTGATATAAATCACTCTTTAAGAATTTCCTCGATCTATCACGTATCTTGAGATACTTGTATCGTTAGATGTCGGCATTTTCATTTGCTCATCAAAAGGAGGCTACTCATAAAGGACCCCGCACAAACTTTATGGAAATTAAATTTCGGTCGAATTGGCTGAAGATTTGATATGTGTAGATCTTGTCGTCTTGATAAAAAGTCTCTACAACGATCCGCTGCAACGAGGCGTCATTTTTCAAAACAGGCTAATACTGCAATATCTTATTTGCAACGGGTACGGTGCATTCCTACATCATTATTTGTACTTTCTATATATTTTTTTAAGTGGAAAGTTATAAGGATATTATTGACTTTATTGCTTTTTTTCAAAAAAGTTATAAAGATATCGAGATCAATAACTTGATTTTAGAGATTTAAGTCAATGCTATGTTGCTTCATGTCTAGGGCGGGAAAAGAAATGGACACAATCATAGGGTGCATGCAAAGAACCGCTTTATTTATATTGAGTAGGCCATGCGTTGTGAGAGGCGAGGGGACTCA